GGTTCCGCATCTCCTGAAGAATGGCCAACACTGCGGTCTTTCCACCGGAGGGATTCGAGGAGGAGGCAACGTCGAAGTGCTGGGCCCTCTGAACAGGTCTCGCCCGCTGCAAAGGGGGAGTACGCTGTCTCCGCTTTGAACTTCAAAGCCGTTCAACATCCTTTTCGGGCACGCGACCCATGTCTCTTCCTCGGTGAGCAGCACCGGCAGCCGAAAACGAGATGGGGACACCAAACCACAATTCTCCCACAACCAGTCCTGAGAGGATCGGACAGACCCAGCAGAACTCGGAGGTAAACTCCGGGCATCAAGAGCATTCTCGGCCTTCTCATGCAAGGATTGCAGACGTGCTTGTACACGGCCAGACGGATCGGTACCTCCAAGTTCCCTATAAGCGCGGACAGCTCCATCGTAACGATAGTAGATCGCCACAGGATCTGCTCCCGGCTTCTGCAAGAGTCCCGACATACCGGCGCCAATGCCTCGAAGCACAACGTCCGCCCCTTTGGCTTGGGACGCCGCATCGGTGGCAAACTTTTGGAAGCGCGCAAAAGCGGTCTTGTACTGAGCCTCACCCAACATGCCTTCGGCGTAACTAAGGGCCTCATCGCGGCAATCGGCTCGCGCCATCTCGACTCCCTGACTAAGTCGGACCTCGTACTCGTCTAGCGTCTCGACATCTGGGTCCATCGCGCTCAAAAACGAGGTCTTCAACTCGGAGAGCGAGGCTCCGGTCTCGGGATCTTCGGCTCCCTCGACGGCTTCGCGAGTCAACTCCGAACGACTTCCACGGCTCCTAGAAACGTTCTCGGCCGCAGCGGGGCCAGATGTCGGGGGTGGCACAGGAGGAGACGCTCCCCCATACGCTGACGCCACCTGCGCATGAGCCGAACCAAACACGAGTGGCTCCACTCGGTGATAAAGCTCAGCTGCTTCCGATGTGGTAACAGTGACACCACGGCGCTTCAACTCCTGAAGGAAACTGCCATAGCGCTTGTTGCCCTGGCTCCTCAAGAATTGCCTGGCCTCCAGTGCCACCTTTTCTTTTTCGGCCTGAGAGATTGCGGGACCACTCGGCGAGGTTTGGCGCCTCGGAGGGTCAAGGCTTAAACTCCTAGGCCTCGGGCCAGCAGGCCCGGCTGCGTAGCCTCTTGAATGATTTCCCAGAACAGCCCCCAACTAGAAGAAGGTCCAGTGGACCCGGGGGAAACGTCCAAAGCAGGCTACTTGGGTTCCTTGGCTTAGCGTAGTCACTCGGTCAGCCGATTGTTTCCTTGCTCTTCTCGCAAGTCCCGAATCACAGTGCCGCTCGATCCCGTTCGGATCGCACTCAAGAGCTGGCAAAACCTGCTGCGCAGCTGCAGCACGTTAACAAGCACTATGGCGGGTTTGTTGCCTTCGGCTAATAGCTCGGCTAAGCAACTGCTTTGAGCTACGACTTGAGAATTGAGAGAGTCTCCACCTTGGGAGTCTCAGACCTTTGAGTGTCCTGACGTGAAACTGTACAAAAGCAAGAGCAAACGACATGCAATTGCTACGTCACTGCATCACATGCTACAATGATGCTGCTGCAAAATGCAACCTACACACAAGCGAGGGGACATGTCTCTATGGTACAAACACAGCCACTTCCATTGTTGTTGTTGTTGTAGCAGTAGCAGTAGCAGTAGCAGTAGCAGTAGCAGTAGCAGTAGCAGTAGCAGTAGCAGTAGCAGTAGCAGTAGCAGTAGCAGTAGCAGTAGCAGTAGCAGTAGTAGTAGTAGTAGTAGTAGTAGTAGTAGTATAGTAGTAGTAGTAGTAGTAGTAGTAGTAGTAGTAGTGTAGTAGTAGTAGTAGTAGTAGTAGTATTAGTAGTAGTAGTAGTAGTAGTAGTAGTAGTAGTAGTAGTAGTAGTAGTAGTAGTAGTAGTAGTAGTAAGTAGTAGTAGTAGTAGTAGTAGTAGTAGTAGTAGTAGTAGTAGTAGTAGTAGTAGTAGTCGTAGTAGTAGTACTATTACTACTGCTACTACTACTACTGCTACTACTACTACTACTACTCCTACTACTACTACTAGTAACGGTAGTAACAGTACAAGTAGTAGCAGTAGCAGTAGCAGCAGCAGCAGTAGCAGCAGCAGCAAGGGTAGGTGTAGTTAGTTGTCGTAGCACTATTTAGGAGAATTCTTCTAAACTTCTTGTTTTCGTTTCTTGTATTTCATTATTCGAAAACCAGAGGAGTGGATAATTCTTTCAAGTTATTCTAATAAGCCGCAGTGTTTGCTCGCACGAGTATGCTGGATATTTTTCTTGAACATGCTAAATCCCACCCACTTGCTATCATTTTGCGAGAGAGATATAGAGTACTACAAGCGGTGAATTATTTTCAACCCCTTTGTTTTCAGGAGGACTAGTGAACGGGTCTACATTTCACCCCCCTGTTTTCATTTCTGATCTTCGTTGCTCGAGGTGCGTTGTCGAAGAAGTGTCACCACATCGAACTGCCACCATACCTTTTTCATGAGTTTGCGTGAGTTTTGCGAAGTTGGGCGCGGTTCAGAACCAGCTAGAGAGACGTATGATAGAATTGTGTATGGGGGAGCGTTGTCGCACATTGCGGGCGCATGCCATCTTCCTTGTGTTTTGCAATGGGCCCCTATACCACGTCAGCGGCTCATGGGGAAAGTCTTAAAGAAGGGCTGGAGATGTGTGTGCGCGTGTCACGTATTCCGCAAAAGCTGTCCACGCCGGAGAGAGCTTGCATTCCATGGGTCGTTTGCAAAGACCCGTGTCGAAAGCTTGGTGAACACCGTCTAAGTTAATTGCGTTGCTCAAAGAACATGCGTTGCAACGAAGGATGTGTGCATAATTTGTTCGAAGGTCTTGCTCTGTCATGCAACACCGCATCAGTTGACATCGCGGTGGCTTTGTCGACTCAACTCTGCAAATCCAAACGCTCGAGCAGTGTCGGGAAGAGCAACGCCGCCCTTCCAGCTACTAGTGGTAAATTTTCGGCAATATCAGCCCAAATGAGCCCAGTTCTGCCGCGATTTCAAAAGCCTGCGGAATTCGAGGTCGAAAGAGGCGAGGACAGCGTCAAGAACATCTGCGAGAACATGTGGCCAGCGACTGCCACTTTGTTGTACTCCCTGGCCAGGTACTAGAGTAACTTTTTTTTTAGAGACCAAGCATATGACCAGGGACGCCACGTTGTTGTACTCCTTCGAGACCACGCCGATTGTTGCCAAGAGAAAGTCATCCCTACAGAGAACACTCAAGAAGTCTCCTTCGGATGTGGAACTATGTATATGCCACGCATAATCCATATACGCCTGCTGCTACTTCTTGCATTAACCACAGACATCAACACTCCCGCACAATTGGTGTTGCTTTGTTGCGTTGCTACTTCGTTGAAGTCCATCGTCGGAAAACCCTGCACTGTATGTACTGTAATCTTTCCCGGTACTGCGACAGGCGTTGCAGCCACGACCAGACGACCGAAGACAGAGGCCACGAGGTTGGAAAAGTGGATTCGAACATTCACAGTACTTACATGCATTCGCGCAACCTGGATTCGCACTCTGGCCGCGGTTCCACGTGCAGGCATACCCGCGCACTGGGCTGGATTCGCACGCTGACGCAGCGGATTCGCACGCAGACTGACTCGGGCACTGAGCCGCCCACTGTGGGTCGGCAGCTTCAGGACCCTAAAATGCTGAAACTGTCCGTCGAGCTTGTTTCGGAATTACAGGTGGCAACGTGCGCAGGCCATGGGGAGTGAAAGGCTGTTACAACAGAGTTATACACGAACCTCGGAGCTACACAGAGTCACGGTGAGACTAAGCCGGTCTAGATGTACTTTCGCCCCGCGGAAGGGCTTGTCGCCTGGCAAAGGCAACCGTGCCGCAGCCCAAGACCTACAGGCTGCCACAAACCCCAAACCCTAGTGAATGCTTCGCTGGACGGCATCCAAGCCCACCCACAACCCCCAACGGGCTGTATTTCCTCAATGGGTTCGTCAATTCTCAATTCCTCAAATCGTCAATTCGTCACTTCGTCGCCCATGAACGAAGTCCCGGTTTTGGGGCCGCAGTCGCCCCCTGAATGACTATCAGTTACTAGGTGGTAGTTTTGGGGTGTAGGGCTTCACAGGCCCTAAACCCGAAACCCTAAACCCTAAACCCTTTTTTGCATCCAGGCCTCGTACTTGAAACTAGGAGCGGCGCCAGCAAGCTAACAACCCTAATCCCTTTTGTGCTGCCGGGCTGCTTCAGTATCCCTCAACCCTAAAACTTAAACCCACAACCATAAACCCGCTGAAAAAAGACAAGAGGTCAAAGTTGGCAGAGAAAGCGTTGCCTGTGCAAGCGCTACACATGAGAAGTGGGAAGATTCAAGAAAGCTCGTTGGCACCGCCGCCTCCTAAAAAACGTGCGAACAGAGTAGACTCAGTAGACATTCCAAGACCAAGGAGAGATTCGACGAAACCGACATGAACCCGTGCAGTGACGAAGCCTTTCCAGCCGAGTGGTGTTCTTAGACTGAGACAGTGTGGCAGCACGAGCTGTCCCTTGCATTGTGTAGTCCACATGTCCTTATCCGATGCCGCAGTGCAGAGGGGAGATGTTATAATCTCTCCACCTCGGGGCCTGCGAACGGAGTCCAGAAGGAGCAGGGGCCTTACGCACAGATGAACAAGCCTCTAAAACCTTAAAAGGAGGGGATGGCGGGGTGCGAAACCCCAAGCCCTCAAAAGTAACTGGGTGGTAGAAACCTGAAGAACTCAGAGGAGATGGTTGTGATTTAGCCGGTGGTGCTTGAAACGCCGGTGCATTGATTTGCGAGAGCTTGAATCGGCGAAGAGCCACGGTGCGAACCGCGCGCGCTTGAGTCGTGCTTGCTTGAACCATCCCAAAAACCTGTTCCGAAGGGATTCTTTTTGAAACATGTTGTGGGCTGTTGTGCAGATTCCATGTCGCACCTGTTTCTCTTGAACTGCATGGCTTCTCAGTCGCTTCTCCCCGCCTGCGTGTATGTTGCTGGACCCGGTGTTTCCGGCACAGCCTGCTCCTGGCAAGCTGCGCAGAGCTGTGTCGACTTCAATGCCCCCCCCCCCCCACATGCTATTGTATGATGCTTGAAGATCCTGGAAACACGTTGAACATGCTCGCGCCTGAAATCTGTCCTGTCCACCCATGGTCGTAGCATGGTCATCCCAGACGCTGGGAAGTTCATAGGATCCAGGTCCGATCTTAGCACATCTTGTCAGTGAATATCCAAAGCTAACGACATGAATGTTTCTGCGCACGTCCCGAAGTTCATTGGTCAGTACCATAAGACCACACTTCAAAAAAACGAAAAAAACGAGGACAAAAGCCTTAACCGTGCTCCCTCCACGATCCTTCACTCCGCGCGCGACCCGAAACTCGCACCAATCTCAGAAACCCTCACACGTAAAGACCGTTAAACTCTACTTCCTGACGCTCGTCGGCTTCCCAAGGTTGCTGCAGGGTTGGCAGCTTTCCCTTCCGTGAATCGGGGCGACTTCTGCTTTGACCACAGCATGTGTCGAGCCTGCTCGCAACGTCAGGTGACACGTTTCATGCATTGCTGGTTGAGGACCTTGGTTCCCAGCCTATGTGGATCCTCACTCCTTTGCCCACAACCTGCCCGCGCCCTGAGTGCCACCCCTCCTTGCTACTCGCCGATCTGTGAACCGCGAAAGAAAAATGTCAGACTCAGAGTAGGAACGAGCAGGATCAATGCCAGCCAGTACCATGCTCCACCCCTGCTCGCTTCACAGGTCGCTGTCTGCCGGGAGAATGACATGTGCCATTGCACTATACAGCCTGAACGAGAGAGGCTTTTTCGCTCAAAGCGCCGTGCATGCAGACGGGACTCGAAGGCCCATCCTGAAAGGCAGGACATGAAATCATCGCACATAACAAGAAGCGGGTGTTGTCCTTCGCGCAGCATCAAATGGACGACATCTGTAGCTCGCGCCGCCTGTCTGTCACCGGGAGCTCCAGGATTTGGGTGGAGAATGGCTTGGTCCCTTCATTCTGTGTTTGTTTGTTTGACGGGTCTTCTTGGAGTTTATTTGGAAACCCACTATTTCAGCTACGTTTTTATAAGGTGCCACCCACTTCTTCTGTAATCATTGGAAATGAATAAAAAATTCTGCATTCTGCGTCTGCTTGTGCACGAGGTCTTTGATTCAAGTCAAGGGGTTAGTAACAGCATTTTCGCGGGAGGGCCGGGGGCGCGCAGCCCCCCAATGTTCAAACAAGTCAACTAACTACGCCCAAGCGTGCACGGTTTTGTACGGGGCTTGGGTGAAACTATGCGAAGCAAGGGTTGGGAGGTGCGCAGTGCCCCTCCGCGCTCGCTCGATTTCCTCAAAACTTCGAAGGGAAGTACTCTGCTGAGCATCTACTTTCGTGGGAAACTTGATTCGAAGCAAAGGGGTTGGGAATGGGACTTTTGCACGAGTTTCGCAAGCACAAGAAAGCAGAGCAGCGTTGGGGTGCGGGGCAAGGGCGCTAAGCGCGCAGACCCCTTGCAAACAAATGCCCCACACCGTTTGAGGCAAAAGCGTGCGGTCTTAAGGGGGTTGTATGGCAAAAAGGTAAATAAGGAGGTGAGGTTGCGGGCGCGCGTTGGTGGCGTTCCTTTGTTTTTGATAGGAAACCTAGATCGCCTCTAGTGTATGTATCTTGGCCCGCATGACCACTTGCACTCTCTCTTTCTTTCTTTGGGCATGGGGGACGAACCCCCGGGCGTCTTCGCCCGCCCCTGTATTTGGAGCGGCTCTGTTGGAAACAAGCACAGGCCTGCGAGTGAGTGGTTTCTTAACCCCCCCCCCCCCCCCCACTGCCCCGATCATTCTGCCCCCATGCTCCTTATCCCTCAGCCCCACAACCCCACTCGCCTGCCAGCTTAGCCTGCACGCGAGAAAAACATGCCCCCTGGGCCTCTCTTGGGTTTCCCCCAGGGCCTTCTATCTTGGTAGTGGGCGTGTTTGAACACAGCCCCACCCTCTAATTAACTCGCGGCGGCTTTTTGGCACTCTCCTCTCTCACTCTCTCTCTCGCTCTCTCTTTTTTTCTTTCTTGGGGGCATGGTACTCTCTCTCTCTCTCTCTCTCGCTCGTTCTTGTTGCATCCAGAGGGTCTAGCAGCGCCAGGCACTCTCTGTTTGTTGTTTTTGTGTTTCGTCGCTACCAAGCGAGAACAGGCAAATTCGCCAAGTTTGGACAGGCGTTCAGCTCTGTGTGTTGAACAAATCAAGTTCCTCACAAGTTCGTCTATGGACTCTGTAGCAAAAGTGCCTGACCTTTTCAAGCCTGAGGCTTTGATGGCTGAAGTGACTTTTTGCCAGGCTTCGTGCTTGAGACGATCGAAACCCACATCCTATGTTCTGGGATTCGGGGCTACCTGATGGTTTGGGACGGCCTCGAGGTCACCAACTAGAAGGCGTCAGGGTCGCCCTGCTTGTGCGCACACTCAAAAGAATCCAGCTTTTTCAACAATGAGGGCTAGAAGGTCCAGCAAGGGTTTAGGCCTTACTTGTTTTCAGGGCCTTACTTGTTTTCAGGTGTTGGGGCTTCAGAGAATCGGTTCCCACTTTGTCTTCCTGTTTTGCTCTTTCTAAGGACTGCGGGCTCGACATACCCAGGTTTTGGCTCGCGGAAGCCGTTTGTCTTGAAGGGCTGACTGTTCTTGCAGGTTGGGCCGTTTGGGTTTTTGCGCACGCGTGGTCGCACGCTGCTCTTGGAGACAGGCAAGCGCGGGCTACAGAACACAAGGCGGGGGGCTGGGGATATTGACACGGGACACGGGTGGAATATACAGGTGTGGGAGGGGGGAGTATTTCCATAAGCAGCAAAAACACGTCGTTCATCATTTCCAAAGATAGAACATTACTAAATGCCAATAATAGGATCAAGAAAACTCAAAGTAATAATGAGAATAAGAAGGAAGGAAGAGTAAGAAGATCAAGAAGACGAATGCTGGAGAGCCCCATCGTTTCTCTGCTGGGCGAAACACTGCACAATTTTAGCGACAAACGCATGGCACTAGAAAGAACACGATCACTAGCAGAAAGTGCCTGGGAGCGTGCTGTACAACTGCCTCGGCGAGAAGCTGGTGAAGTGCTGAAGAGCATTGAACAGTCCAATGGCAACATTGCCGAGGCAAGGTCCAGGCCTCGACGCTTCCATTTCATGCTTCATCTCTGGCGGCAGAACTTAGCCAGAACTTGCGCAGAACACATCTTGGCCAAGAGACCATGCATCAAATGACAGCAGACTGCATCCACGTCTGAAGCTGCAAGATCTCTGCACAAGTGCTCGAACGACGTCGGCGGGATATCCAATCAAAGTACTTGAGGACATGGGTCGCTCAGAAACGCAGAGAGTGACAGAGAGAGAGTTGGGGACATGGACAAAAGGAAAAAGCGTGACTGAGAAAGAGTTTTGAATTGACGACGGGCCAGTTGAAGCTGGGCTCATCTGGGCACCAGACGCTGCGCTAGCTTCATCCATCTTGGTATCACCAGCTTGCGAAAGGCGTCCCCTTCGACCAGGCGTCAGATGCTGCCACAAGAGAACGCTGAGCGGCACGTGTGCAAAGATGTGAAACGGCTCAGGGTGCAACCTGCCGCTTCCCGCAAAGATGAGAGAACTAGATTCCGCTCTGTGGCATCCTGAGCGGAAATGAGGGAGCACTCTAAAGCCTAGCAATACGCCACAAAATGCTGCAACTAGACATTCTCACTCGCTACATGCAGGCCAGCCCTGCCTGGCAAAGACTTTCGAACCTTCGGGTGTGTAGCTCCGCGAATCTTTTCCCAGCATGACTCGTTGAGTTGCCGGCGACTTCTGCTCGTCTTCTGTAAGCAGATCATTCTCTTCAACATCCTCTTCCAGAACAAGGGCAAAGGTTTCAGGCGACTAACCCCTCAGCACTTGTTGCCAACGGTCCTGCTGCAAGCCCTGCCACAAGGCATCGTTCCTTCAGCTCTCCGGCTAGCGAAGATGTTTATTAACATCGCAGCTTTTTAGACATCGCAGCTTGAAAAATTTCTTCCTCGGGTGCGACACGTCGGTCGATTGCTCCTGACTCGACAGCAACGGAAGATAATGGAAGCTAACGGAAGTATAAAGATTGTCGACGGGAGCCTCAACTCGGTTGAAGAAGGTTCATGCTACTGGCTTCAGCGGACTTGTGTAGCATCGTAGCCATACCCATGGCACCTCTGCTAAGAAGTCGTCCTCGCCCAATGCTGCCTGGTACCTCGATAAAAGATCCAGAGGCTAGCACTGAAGCACACATCAATTAAGCCACAGCAAGCCTCTAGCAGCTTGGGCTCGTACTCAGCATACTGCCCAGCATTTCGCAGGATCTTGGCATACCTGCTTTCTATAGCACTGTAACAAGCTGGAGTCTTCTGTCGCTTCTATGGCAAGCCATTGTGACGGGATCACTTCGTGGCTGCTGGTCCGGTGACCGGTACCACTACAGGCACACCAACCTGAGACGCAAGCGGAAGTCAAAGATGCGAAAGTATGCGAAGTTCCCTTGAAGATGCGAGTCATGCTGAGTTCCCTTCCCATGGTCCAGCAATGCCGATGTCAAAGACCCAACCCCTGTCACCAACTTGAAGGTAGCCAAGCCTGATGCCAAGACAATCGACACGCCATGTAAAGCTGCATGCCTTTGTTCAGCTCAAGGTGCTTTGCCGGATTTGCAAGTGCCAAGTAAGAAAGATGGAAAGCAGGAGTCACGAAAAAAAAAAGACAAAAGAGCGCGAAAAAAAATGCAGCAGAGCGCACGGAGACCAGGCAGTGGTAGTGAGGAGCCGGAAAGAGAAAAACCACCTCTCACGAAGCAAAGGCGTGAAGATGACACCAGACTGCCGGGGACGGTGTAACATACTGCAACATGCCGTAACATACTCCCACATGCCGTGTTGCAACCACTTGCAATTGCAGGTGCCGACGTCCAAGGTCTTGGCTGGGTGTCCGATGACACGGCAGCTGTAGCCTCAAAGACCTCCCCGACCTTAAGCAAGCAGGGCAGCATGAAACAAAGAAGTTGCTGTGTTTAATCATTTTGGGTCGAGATCGTGCTCTCGCACAAAATCTCAGGCCTTCATATATGAGTGCAGTCACCGCGAGTTGCACGCAACTTTTTCGCAACCTTCGGTCGGCTGTGCGTCCAGGCCATCCACCCAGGCGTGGAAGCGGCTCGTTAGAGCGTTACAAGCGGGACCGAGATTCAACGATGAAGGGCACCAACACAGAAGGGGAGGAGATCGACAGCCGAGAGCATTCGCCCAAAGAAGGAAGAATCGAGGCAGCAGTGACCTCTTGCGACCAAGCGTGCTTTGATGTTGCCAGCGCGTTCTCCACCCAATTTTCGGGAGACCGGCCCTGTGAGTTGCAACAGAACCGCCTGCTCTCATTGACCCCGGGGGAAGTGTGAGAAGTATAGGACGCGCAAAGCTCGCAGGAAGGCGTCCCAGCGCTGACGAAAACAGCGGAAGAACCACCGAAAAATTTC